TCCCCCAAGGCCACCCACCCGGGCCAACCTCCCGTGTGATATTCTCAATTCAGCCCAATTTATGATCGACGCCCAGATATTTCGGGCGCAGGACCTGTGTGACCTGTAGTAGATGTCTGGTCCTAATCCTACGCAAGGTGGGGGAGGGGGGAGGGGGGAGGGGACGGTGTGTCTGGTCCCAAGTCGCCTGGTGGTCCTATAGGATATGGTTACCGAGCGATAATCGTCTCTCCTCTCTCTGTCCTTTTTTTTCTCTCTCTAAACACACACACGCACGCACTCATATATACATGCATATAGACTCTCACGTCTCTCTCTCTCTCTCTCTCTCTCTCTCTCTCTCTCTCTCTCTCTCTCTCTCTATATATATATATATATATAATATATATATATATATATATATATATATATATACATGTAAATACATATCAGATATATATGTATATTCATACATACATACAAAGTATATATGTATGCATGTATATGTAAATATAAAACTTTTCTTTTCACTCCCCTTTTCTGTGCCTCTAGTAAGTGACGTGTCTTTTTATATCAGCCATTTATACCTGTAAACAGACAGACACGCGTACGTACACTCTCCCCCGCACACGCGTTACGCATTGGGACGCACTTTCGCTCTCACCGACGCCGAGCCAGAGGTACGATACGAGGCTTTCTTCCGAATCGAGTTTTCTGCGGCGAAAGAAAACAAAAGCTCAGGTTCCCGACGCGCGCCTCCGTGCTCGGGACGGAATTAAGAGACTGCGCACAAACAAAAGAAGGACGTGATGAACAGAAAGAGAGAGAAAAAAGGAACAGAAAGAAAAAGCGCTTGTATCCCCCGTAAATTTCGTCCGTGGCGGAGGGCTCGGCCGGATGACGACCCCCCCTCCCCTCCCCCTCCCCCCGCTCCCCACCGCCCGGGCCAAGGGGAGAAGGGTGAGTGACGAGAAGTAGGTCAGGCCGCCAGGGTGCCAGGGCCGTCATGGCGGGGGGAGGGGGGTTAGAGGGGGGGGGGAGGCGGAGACGGAGGGGATATATATTTTTTTTACTCGTTTCGGAGAAATGGGAGCTCTGAATTCGGGCATTTGCTTCGGTTGGAGTTTGGTTTTGTGGTTGTGAGTGGCTGAGCTCGGAGCAGAAGGGAGCAGGGGATTAAAAGGGGGCGCCTGTGGGGAGAGAAAGACTGAGGGGAAGTATGATGGGTTTAGAAAGGATTAGCGAGTGTAGGGGAGAAACTTATTTTAAGAGGGAAGGGGGAAACAAGGGCAGCGGGTGTAGGTAGGTGCCTGTACACTTGCGTGTGCGAACGCGGAGAGAGAGAGAGAGAGAGAGAGAGAGAGAGAGAGAGAGAGAGAGAGAGAGAGAGAGAGAGAGAGAGAGAGAGAGAGAGAGAGAGAGAGAGAGAGAGACGTGGGGGGGGGGGAGGTGATTTCGCCGTGGTTTAGTGGTTGTACAAGGATCTCACTTTCTGTCGGCTTTGTTGCCCAGTTGCGCCATGATGCAATGTTTTCCACGTCGCTGCTACCAGATCTTTGTCACTTTCCTATGCGAAGTCAGAACGGGGAGACAGAAAGAGAATATTGAGTGTTATTCTTACACATTCTTTTAACCTCATCCGCCACATTTTCCCCTTCGCATATTCTTGGACACACACGCCTTCCTTTCGGCACAAAAAACGACACGAGGGCCAGTGGGGAAGGAGGCGAAGGAGGGGCGAAGGCAAGGGACGAGGGAGGAAGGGGCAAGAAGGCAACAGACAGTCCAGGTGGGAAATACCAAAGCGGTGTCCCAGTCGTTGCCCTCTCGAAGCCACTCCTCGGGAAACAGCGCCATTCTTTCTGACATAACTAACGGAATTTTTATAATGTTTCTTTTACACGACCAAATTGGTAAGGGGGCAATTACGGCGATATCCGGTCGTTTCGGGAAAAGAAGAATGTTCTCTGCCGACGCAGGTAACTCCCGAAGGTTATTTTGGATGCAGTTTAGGAGCTTTGGGAGTAGGCCTATAAATGCACATCCGCTGAATTTTGTTTCCTTCTGGGGCTTTTGCCGTTAGACTCTAATTTCCAGTAGCACAAATGATAATCGTGAGGATTTATCCTTTGTGTTCCTCCCAGGAAAAAGGCGTGGGTAGCCATCCTTTGTAGAGGATACTGACCCCAGATAGCAAGGGTCGGGCTAGATACGGACTATTGACGAAATTCATGTCCGACTTTGATTGTGAAAATTAAACAGCTGTGGCGATATGGAAAACTGTTTGGATGTGTGGCAATTGTGGCATGCGTGTTCCATGCGCCTGGCAAGAGTGGGCTTTTGAGGTCGTGTTTATCCAGCGCAAGGATGGGAGGGCAATGACCCTCTCGGCCCGACGAGGAGCTTATCGATCATTGATCCAAGGCCAGTCTGGTCCAGGGGGCTGACCCGGGCCTGACCTCTCTGACCGGGGCGAGCAGACACATATACTATTACGCACAGAAGAGTCTGCACACACACACACACACACACACACACACACACACACACACACACACACACACACACACACACACACACACACACACACACACACACACACACATACATACATACACACACAACACACGCGTAGACATACACATACACACACATCTTTGTCTCTCAACTTCCACTTTCTCTTCCCTTTCGTTCACTTATTCTTTCATGCATCCAGTTTTGCAAGTCCGGTTTTGGTGAAGATGCAGAGAGAGAGAGAGAGAGAGAGAGAGGAGAGAGAGAGAGAGAGAGAGAGAGAGAGAGAGAGGAGAGAGAGAGAGAGAAAGAGAGAGAGAGAGAGAGAGAGAGAAGGGGGGCGGGGGGCAGTATTGCTCTAACGTATTTGTTTACTTTCAAAGTTCAACAAAACTTCAATTACGTCAAGTAAGACGAGTTCGTGAACCCGTGACGTCTTAGATAAGATTAGTGTATTTTAGGCCACGCGAAAGGATATCCCGGTCGCCTCGAAAAAAAAAATTGTTATTTGTACTTATCTCAGAGCGCTGATAAAGATAATTGGGGAAAGGATAACGAGTCTTTGGTAATTGCAGTTCACTTTGTACATTCCCCAAAGAAAACAAGCAAGGCAAAGATGATTCACGCAAGCTTCGGAGTGATAAAGTATCTGTATGCGCGGAGGTCTGAATGCGCTCACATGAGTACATTTCCGTCATTGAGTACGTTGACCCAGGAACACGTGAGTCAGTGTTGTGAAGTTTCGGTAACAGCCTCCGCGCACCCCTTCCTGTTAGCGTACTACCGTCGTCTCAGCCAATCACAGCCTCCCTCGTGCCCTGCCACTACGGGTGGGCGGGGCCTCGTTCGCCAGGTAAGTCTGTTGGCAGGGACGCATCACCTGTCGCCCCTTCTCGCCTGTCTGGTTTCGTAAGCGCCGAGAGTATGGATGGATTCTAGGAAGTTTTGCTTTCGAAAAAAATGACAGAAGGAAAATGGAAGATAAAAGCAAAAAAAAAAAAAAAAGAAAGGAAAAAAAAAAAAAACTTGAATAGAAAATGGGAAGGCCAGTGACGCAGGAGGCAGGTGTACAGTTTGAGGAAAAGCAGCGACAGGAAGGAAAGAGGCAGGGCAGTGACCCTAGATGGTTCAGGCTGGTATTAATAACGGCAGGTGTCTTACTCGCCTCTTCATGGTCACTGCTCCCTTCCCCATACGTCTGTAAGCCGGAAATGCCAGCACATAATTACACCTGGAGATCGCCTTGCCGGGCCGGCTCCAAGGGGGTGCGGATGGGGGAGGGGCTACTCCTCACGAGACAAAAAATATGAAGGAAACCTTAACGTCTTTTGTCTGGAGATGTACACGATGTTTTCAGATCCTAAGTAAAGACGTTTCAATACCAGGGATTCTTAAACATTTCGTGCTTTTCGGAGAGTGGGATGGCAAGCCAGGATCCGCAGGCCGTTCACATCCCACGGGAGAGGTTCAAGAAGTGCAAGCTCCGCCAGGCTCCTCCGGCGACTTCCTGGTGGCGATGCGCGGCCGGAGGCAAGGCGTGCTTACGGTACCAAGCGTGAGCGCGGCTCCTCCCTCCCGCGGCCGTGGCGGGAGCGGTGTGTGACGCGCACGGGAGGAGATGGAGGGCTAGTGGAAGAGGGAGACAGAAGGAACGAAGAGAATACAAAGTAACGACTGAATCCGATGGTTAATGAATTTCTCGATGACTGCATCTACCATTCTGCGGTCGCTGTATACAGTCGGGCGAAATACGTCTTGGGATGATTTTAGAATGAGTCAAATGTTCTCTGGTGTTTACACTCGCTTGACTGGACACGGTAATGCCACGTCATGCAACATCCCGCCTCCTTGCACTCTCTTGTCATCTCCATATCACTTCGCATCTTTTATCACTTCTCTCGCCTTTGTAGTTCTCTCTTTCTTCGGCCAATCGTAAGTTCGTCTCCTCTCTCTTTCCAACCCTTTCGCGTCTCGCTGCCTCGGCGGAGTTCCCGTTGCGGCCGAGCTGGTTGAGTGCGTCATAGTTTTCGAGGAAAGAGTTTCCAGTCCGGGGAAGCCGAGTAGCCGTAGTCTCAAGTTCACGGTCAAGCCGCCTACACCTCGAGCGCGCCGGCCGGTTCGCTATTTCCAGGAGGAAGCTGTGACGAAGGTTCCTTGCTTCATAAATACTTGTGGTGGCTCCTCCTTGATGGTTGTTTCTCGAAGTGCTCTGCTCCGGTCAGACCTTGAAGACCCAAAGAGTTGTTCGTTGCGTCCGGAAAGTGTCGCTGGAGGGGAGTTGCGGTGATGAAAGTGTTATAAAAGTCGTGACGGTGACTGTGTGTGCCGACGTTATTGCGAGGATAGCGCCGGAGACGCCTTGTGGCCGAGCTGAGGATTTTGCTTTTGTCCGAAGGTAGAGGTCGAGTGAATGCACACGATGCCAATTTTAAGAATAGAGAAAGAAGTCCTCTTTCGCAGAACAACACAAGTGGTGATCTAACGTCTTTTTCTTTGTCTCCTTCCAGGGATTCTTCCGCCGCAGCATCCAGCAGAAGATCCAGTATCGCCCCTGCACCAAGAACCAGCAGTGCTCCATTCTTCGCATCAACAGGAACCGATGCCAGTACTGCAGGCTCAAGAAGTGCATCGCTGTGGGCATGTCGAGGGATGGTGAGTGTTGACCGAATATCAATTGCGAATTTCATATCATTATCATTCCCTCTCATCTCCATCGAAGCTGTAGTTGACTGGGGTAAATTCGTTGTCATTTTCCATTTTCTTAAAGTTTGCATGTGGCTGTCATTATACATGTATACATCTATCCATGTATTTCTACGTTTTTCTCTCGCTCTCCTTCCCGCTGGAACGCAGCTGGTGCGTTGTCCCTCGGGAGGTCCGGGCCGCACCGTGCCTCCGTTACTCGTAGGTCATGACGGTTGGGCATCCGCGGGGATGGGATGGCATCGAACTAGGGCACGAGAGGGCATGGGGAGGGGAGGCTAGGAAGGGCACCGAGTCTTTTTTTTTGCTTTTCGGTTCCCTGTAGAGTATGACTTCTACTGAAGTTAATGAACGCCATGTGATTCATTTCGATTAAGATATTGGTTTAGAATGAAAGATAAACGAACAGATCATGTTGGGCTTCAGATGCGCACGTCGCTTGCTTCGCTAATTTTATAAACTAGGAACATAATTATCCTGAAGCAAAAACAGAAACGTCATGGACAGATGACTAGCATATGAGAGGTTTGGGCGGTGTAAAACCGGGCGTGGAATGGGCGGCAGGTATTGAGGGCGAGGCGACCCTGTGCGAGATCATGTGTGGTGGTGACCGTGGGCGGGGTGGCAGGGACGCCCTAGGCTACGACGCCCGCTGCCCCGTGCCCGGGTGACCCCGGCGCTGTCGCCCTCCTCGCTCCTCCCGTGCAGATCCTCACCTTTGTTCTGGTCACTCATTTTTTCTCTCACGTGGCCTATATTTGCGGGACTGAGCAAAACAAGAATTAGACACGAGTCATTTGCACAGTGATGCAGGGTCATCCTCTGAGACGTGCAGCTTCTCCGCCATTTAAGCTGTTCCTTAGCAGAAAGGACATCAATGAACGAAAGCCACGAGTGTCGTCGTAGTAAACAAAAGACGGAAACCCACACAAACTCGAGGAGGCTTTATGGATGCGAGTATCACGGGGTTCCTCGCACGTGCGGGGACAGCGGGAGGGATACACTTTAAGATCTGTCTCAGGTCAACTTTGCTCGGGTGCCAAATTCTGATGGAAGGGGGCTTTGCCATAGCCACCCCGGTGCCATCTTTATGAGCTGCGAAGAACGTGTGCCAGATTCCTCTCTGGTGGTTATCGTATTGCCTGACTCGGAAAAGAGTGCCAGGTTTGCCCCAGATAACGGGACGGCACGCGACCACCAGGGGATATGTGGCAACGCCGCGGGGTGAACGACCCAGGCGTGACGTCACAGTGCAGAATGATGGGGAACAGTACACAACGGGATAAAGGGATGAGAGCGCCGTGCCTGATAATTTTGACCTACTATATTTGCGGAAATGATAAGATAAAATGCTGGCTGGTCAACTGAAAGCCTTGTTTAACAAACGGGGACCCTCCGAGTTGAATGGAAGCAACATAGGGTGATTGTTATTACTATAGCAACACCAGATCCTCATCGAGGGACCCAGCGCGCTCCAAATAAAGCTGACGTTGACCCGTACAGCCCAACAATCGTGTTTGCATTCTGCTTTTGTTCTCCGTCTCGCCGCAGCCGATGGCCAGCGCTCGTGAATTCGTGTTTGGGAATCCCGTTCTCGAAGGTTCTCATGGCCCACATCTAAAGCAAGCAAGCAGGCAGGCAGACACCTGAACGGGAATGAGTGATGCTGTAAGGAGGAGGAGGAGGAGGAGGAGGAGGAGGAGGAGGAGGAGGAGGAGGAGGAGGAGGAGGAGGAGGAGGAGGAGGAGGAGGGAGGAGGGAGGAGGAGGGGGGAAGAGGACCCGAGATGGGAGGGGAGGAGGGGGGGGGGTCGTGGTGGCCCAACATAACGGGCGCGGCCACAGCATCCAGACTCCGCTTTATTGCATAGTGTCACACCCTCCTCGCTGCGCCACGGTTCCCACGGGGTTCAGCTGAGAGAGAGAGAGAGAGAGAGAGAGAGAGAGAGAGAGAGAGAGAGAGAGAGAGAGAGAGAGAGAAGAGAGAGAAGAGAAGAGAGAGAGAGAGAGAGAGAGATGGAAGAAAGAACTGAGAACTGAGAAAGGATTTCAGCAATCGAACAAGGGCAGGCGAGGGCATGAGCGACGGGGCATTCCAGGAAAGGGAGGGGGCGAACTGGCATGTCAGTGGCCGTCTTTGACCTGAAGATGCTCTGCGCTCAAGACATTCACGTACATGCACGCCCGCGGCCGAAGCGCACACGAAAGCTTTGCACATTTACACACGTAACGCAAACAGAGGAAACACACACACACACACACACACACACACACACACACACACACACACACACACACACACACACACACCACACCACACACACACACACACACACACACCGTTGCATCTTCTAGAAGCAAAGGCTGTGCTGACAGTACGGCGTCGCGTGGTTGTGTTAACGGGTTCGCTAATTACTGACGGAGTGGAGAGCAGCTGACAGACTCCTCGTTTCGTCAGGACTTGAATGGTTTCCTTCTGATAGCCTTAAAAAACAATATCTTTATGCTATAAAATGGTATACTACTTTGTTATATTTACTGTTCTATCTTACTGTCTCCTGAATCTTTATTGTTTTGAAGAATACGATTACAATAAATTTCCCGAAGGAGAGCTTACGAAACCGAAGGTGCTGGAGGGAAACGAGCCTTAGGCCTGCCTTGCAAGGGGCGGGCGTGTCGTGCGTAGAGCCCGAGAGCGGAGGTGGGCGGACCCATAAGTCAAAGAGACGCTACTAATGACATAACGTTCCGAAAAAGGTTAAGGCCTCGGGGAGGAGGGGGGAGGGGGGGAGGAAGGGAGGACTGTTATAACAGTGTTCGTTCCTCTCCGATGGTTCCTCCCGCCCGGTGAAGATAACGTTCAGGGGAACCTTCTGGAAGTCGACGCATCGCCAGCATGGTTAGCTGCACGGAGATCACACGAGAACTTCCAATCTGCTCCTCCCTTCTCCGCTAAGCAAAGAACGGCGCTTTGCGGTAACGAAAGAGCGGGAGCCTCGAGGAGCAGCAGGAAAAAAGAAGCAAAACGTAGCTGGAGCTCTTCGCGGAAACAGGAGTCTTCTCGGGAAGGAAAGTCATCAACCGTAGCCAAAGCGCGGCGGCGACCACAGATGTAAACAAAACATTGACAAAATCGCATAACGGCCGCTATCCTTGCTAATCAACAGTTATTGTGACCGAGCCAGCAGCCATGTGAAGTCTTTATAGCTGGTATGGCGAGAAGAACGGTAGATCCTACTCCTAGCATTGTTGTTGTTACTACTACTACTACTACTACCACCACTACTTCCTCTTCTATCACTACAACAACAACAACAACAACTACTACTACTACTACTATTTCTATCTTTTTATTAATACTAATACAGCAACAACAAAAGCTATTACTACTACTACCTTTATTACAAATACTATTTTGCCACCACCACCACTTTTGCCGAATGACCACTTTTACTACCACCATTACTACTGTTGCTAATACCACTAACACTATCGCTACTATTACTATCACGTCCTGAAATTTCCCTTTGTTGACACCGTGGTTGCTGGCAGTGCATGTCCACGGCGGCCGCAATCACGTGATGTTGATTGCGTCCCTCGTCATGGATACCGGTGCATTGATCCCTCCAGCCTTACAATAGTACGAGGATAGTTCAGAGAGGACAGCCGTAAGGGCGATCTGGCTGTGCTGCCGAGTGGGGATTTTGGTCCTTCTGCGCGCGGGTGTGAGCTAAGGCTCCGCCTCTGACCTACTTCTGGCGTGAGTTGACGGTGGTGACGTCACGCGGTAGGAAAGTGAAGGTGCGGGTGGATGACCTGACGAAGCTGCGGCCACCAGTATCGCCCCCTCTGCCGCAGTGACCACACGCGCCCATGTCGCTGGTGTTTCAGTGACTAACAAATACGTTACTGGCCTTTTCATCCAAGCCTAATTGCGCTCCAGGGATACGTAAGCTTAGACTAGAAGCCCGAAAAGGGAAGTCTTGTGAGAAAGGGAGCTGTCGTCGGCGGTTATTCGACACGGCCGCAACGAACGAGCTCTCGCAGTGACGCAACAATCTGACCTTGTGTGCAGTGTGGTCATATTACGTCAGCGTTGCCAATATCGTGTCGCATCACAACGGACGTGGACATTTCAACGCCTGAGCAAGGGAGTGTGGAAACGAGCCCCAGTGCATAGGACAAACCCCTTCCCTCGTCCCCTTGTTTCATCCCGGGCCAGCTGCGTCCAAGAGCGTTGACCCCACGTGCCGGGACCCGCTGACTGCTGCTGCCCGGACCGCTGCTGTCCTTAGCGGATCGTCTTCTCAGTCAGCGCCGCTCCTCCCCTCCCCAAACGGCTCCGCGCCAGGTGTTCCCCGCGTTGCATAAGCCATAAACAAACAAGTTTCTTGCCAGCGGACACGGAACCCTCCGCTGAAAGTGTCGTGTTTTTTTTACACACACGCACGCACACAGGAATTAGTCGACATCTTTAGGGAAAACACACAGTGAAAGTGAGGGCCCGACAGTGATCAGCCTCACGACAATGGGCAGTGTGATCCAGTAGTGAAATTAACACGCCGTGTGCTCTACAAGGATACCTTTTACCTTCGGAAACTCCGCAACAAGGAAGCAACAATGGTGCTTCAGCCTTTCCCAAGCACTTGCAAGACTGGTAAGGCCGTGCAACAACCTTGTATTCATTTGAAGCCTTATCTTTCTTCAGTAAGACACGTAGATAGATAAATAAGTTTTCTCTCTGTCTATCTATCTATCCATCCATCTATGTATGTATGTATGTATGTATGTATGTATGTATGTATGTATGTATGTATGTATGTATGTATGTATGTATGTATGTATGTATGTATGTATGTATGTGTGTGTGTGTGTGTATATATATACATATACATACATCTAGATAGGTGAGATAAATATATATTTGTAAGTATATATGTATATTATTGTTGGCAGTTTGTACTTTGTTGAAACGATCTTGAATATGCAAATTATATATATATATATATATATATATATATATATGGGATATAAAATATGATTTACCATTGATATATTTATAGTCGAAAAGCACTTTGGTTTAGGCAAACATCGAATCAACTAGATGAACCATGGCGTGCAGTTCCCGTAGAGTGTGGTGATTTTACTTTTCTAACTCGATCAATTAATCTCTCTCTCTCTCTCTCTCTCTCTCTCTCTCACACACGCACACGCACACGCACACGCACACGCACACGCACACGCACACGCACACGCACACGCACACACACACACACACACACACACACACACACACACACACACACACACACACACACACACACACACACACACACACACACACACACACACACACACACACACACACTCACTTATGTTATATAAAAAGAAGATTGAGAGAGAGAGAGAGAAGAGAGAGAGAGAGAGAGAGAGAGAGAGAGAGAGAGAGAGAGAGAGAGAGAGAGAGAGAGAGAGAGAGAGAGAGAGAGAAGAGATAATTGATCACATCAGAAGACGTTGATGAAAGTTTAAGAATGTTGCTCCCACGTGTGTGTAAGTGAGGGTTGTCGGGTGAGGCCACGGGGGGGGGGGGGGGAGAAGGGGAAGTTCGGTAGGTGAGGGGAAGGGGAGGGGCGGGGAGGAGAAGACTAGATATCAACTTCCTGTCATATTGCTTGACTTCCGCCCCAAGTTGAGGACGTCATACCACAAAACCGTTTCATCATTTTGTTTTCTCGTTCATTTAATGCATTTTTCTCTTCATTTCGCGCAGTGGAAATCGCAGTCGTTTCCTGAAGAGTACAAGTCTCGAGGATTTTTTTTTTTTTTTAAAACGAGAGCAGTAAATTCATGAAAGTCTTTGGAACGCGAGTAAAGCCAGCGAAGGCAGGTGACCCCTCTGCTTAAGCTCGTACAACCCCTTAGTTCCCCTCGCCCGACCACAAAAAAGTCGCTCTCCCTTTCTTTCACTTCCCTCGCTCTCCTCGCGCGCTCGGTGTGTTTCCCCTTTACGCCAGCGAGCCAAGCAGGGTTCACAGACCTTTTAACGATCAGCCCAGTCGCGTTTCGGGGCGGGCGGGGGGGGGGGGCGGAGTAGGAGTACGAGGAAGAGGGGAGCGGTAAAAGCAGGGTGGAAAGGCGGCGAGGGGGGAGCACGAGAGGAGAGCCGAGGGGAGCAAGGAGGGAAGGGGGCAAACAGCGAGTTAGCCAGGGAATGATAGCATGAGGAAGACTCCGGAATGCATAGCGTGTGTGCTATCACAAAGGCGTACGAAGAACACGCGTACACGTATGCTACTTTGTATAAACGCAAGATTTAGAATGGTTTGAGGTAGCTCTCCCGACCTGGCTCCGACAACAATGGGTGTGTAGAGCACGTGCCTCTCGCCCCACACTACCTCTCTGCCACGTGTGTCACAGATTATCCCCCCCCCTCCCCTTCCTCGAATGCTCACCGCGCCCTCACTAACTGTCACGTAGGGCATCCGACGGGCCTATGCGGAAGTAACATATACCTGCATCTATCTACTTCCCATTTCCGGAGTTGTGGCTGTGAGGACGGCGTAGATCTGAAGGTGACCATCAGTAAGGCCGCATCCAAGGCAGACGCGTGCAGCTTACGTTGCACCCGGAATTTCAACCTTATGGCTTCAAGGCTGAGCGGGGTTTTATTCTATACGTGGGATTGCCTTTCCACAGCCGCCATGCAGATTTCGAGCGCGATTTCGCCACCAGGGGAGCAGTAAGAATTGTAGAAAGTGTCGAGTGCAGCGAATATGTCATGCAGTCGATAATGACAATGAAAGCGACGGTAGTTTAAGTAAGAGTGAGCGCGTCTGGGTGGTGCCGGGCGGGTGAAAGTCGTGTGCGCGGGTGTTGGTGTCGGCGGAGCGATGTCGGCTGGCGGACCACGGAGAGCTGCCGCCTCGACCTGCCTCGTACACACATACTCTCTCAGTCGCTCACTGAACGAGAACGAGCTACGAGACGGGTGGGACGCGTGTTACTCCACACCTTACTACCGCGCATACATTACTACGCTGGATATAATACTACAGCTGTGCTTTGTGATAGCCACACATTAGCGGAGATCCTGTGCCTTGGATGTGATTCTTACTTACAGTGATCGAATGATTGTTACTAGTGTGACATTGTATTAGTCACGACTAGTAACCGAGGGTGGTGTAACAGCCCCGTGGATTTACACTCCGTTACCACAATCCAACACAAATGAAAATGCCTGAAGAGGATTTACCCATACTTAAAGGACTTCTACAGCATGGAGTGGCGCCACACTATATGAGTAAGTGTCACACTACCTCGTGCTTGGAGATGAGGGGAAGCGAGTAAGGGAGGGCTGCTTGGGGTCTTGCTTGCTTCGAGGAGGACACGTGACCCTTCTGAAGAAAAATTGAAACTTAAGAAACATCAAGTAACGATTATTGGAGGTTTTGAGCGGCGCAGTGCAATACCCGAGGACCCACACCGTAGCTCTGCCGTGAGTGGGGGAAAATTTCGAGAGATCAATAAGGCAGGTGTTCGTTCATCTCGTGGGGAAACGTGACACAGCCTGCTTCTACGCTTGTACATAGAGGCGATTATTTCGCTTCGTTTTTTCTGTTCGGTTTAACGGTTTCGCGATACGGAAATTCATTTGAAAACTTCGGTTATTTTAACATTGATTTCAATCGGTGATCAGATGTAATTGGAGCTAATAAATGGAATTACCGAACATAAATAATTGAACTTTCCACTTTAAAATTTTGAACAGTTGGATTATATGATTATGATTTTAGAGAAAATGAAAGAGTTAAATGAGGTAGAGGTCGGCGCCACGTGTACCGCCATGTGCCGAGGGTCGTCGGCCGAGCGTCCGAGGGGAGGCTGCGAGCGAGTGAGCCGAAGGTCCGCGCCCTTCCTTGCCTCATGTAGGGATGTGCTGCCTGTCAGTGAATATCGATGCCAATTTTAAGTTAGTTTGTCATTTTCCCTCATTTTTGAGAACTTGTTTCAATGAGAGTAACTTGGAAAGAAGCGAACGCGGCGTCCCCTCGTTTGGCCTACATGCTCGTAGGGCTTCAGCTCTCGCGGCCTCGGTGATTGACACTCGAAATCGTATCATCCTCATTCTCATCATCACTCCATGCAATCATCATTTTTATTTTGATCTAAATCTAGTGTTATAGACATCAGAGCAAGGGTTGAAAATAACCCGCGAAATGATAGGCTGTCTTCCGTGCCAGTGACGGACTCCCGCTAACACGCTCCTCTTCTCCCCCACAGCTGTGCGCTTCGGGCGTGTGCCTAAGCGCGAGAAGGCCAAGATCCTGGCCGCCATGCAGAGCGTCAACGCCAAGTCCCAGGAGAGGGCCGTCTTGGCAGAGCTGGAGGATGACACCCGCGTCACCGCCGCCATCATCCGCGCCCACATGGACACCTGTGACTTCACCAGGGACAAGGTGGCGCCCATGCACCAGCAAGCTCGCACACACCCCAGCTACACACAGTGCCCGCCCACTCTGGTAAGTATCTTAACAGCAGATTAAATATTTAGCATTTATCTTAGGCGAAGTTAGGCGACAAGGGGAGAGAGGAATCACACAGCGAGTCTTCAGCACATAGGATAGACATCAAGAGGGAGGATGCACAGGCACAGGATATCAGAATGTAGGGTGTGGGCCGGATGTGTATGTGTCGGTGGGAACGCAGAGGGGAGGGGGGAAGGAGGGGAAGCGTAGCGGAGCGGGGAAGAGGATGCAGGAGACCACACAAACACTCACACGCCCTCGACAAGGCGCTCAGGATGTTCCCATGTCCTCGCAAGTATAGCCCAGACACTCCTCAGGAAACCCGTATCACGTACACAGATCCTCGGGTAACAGGATACTCTGAGGATAGGGATAGACGGGGAGGGTTAAGGAGGAGGACAGGGATAGGCATGTAATTCCGTCCACGCCAGTATTAATGGGACTTTGCTCTTTGCAACTGAACCATAATAAAATCTCTCGACACACAAAAAAACAGGTAACGACGCCACTGGCTTCCACGGCGCTATCACGCACCAGGCTCAAGGTCAGGCGAGTTCAAGTTCACGCCCCGCTATCTTCAGGAAGCCGCGGTGAGATACTGATAGCAGTGATAAGGGAGCCCGCGCTGGCAAAGGCTCGGTACTGTTGGATACGTCAGGGTCTTGTCACATGTTAGACTCATGGATGTAAACGTGATTGCTATCAATCATGGATTTGTCTAAGAGAGAGAGAGAGAGAGAGAGAGAGAGAGAGAGAGAGAGAGAGAGAGAGAGAGAGAGAGAGAGAGAGAGAGAGAGAGAGAGAGAGAGAGAGAGAGAGAGAGAAGAGTGCGTGAAACAAAAATGGGCAAGCCAGCAAATAAGCTCTCTGAGCCATGACTCGCCGCTCCATCGTGATGACGAATTCAGTGCGGGCCGGAGCTAGGCGGTCATCCAAGGTCACGGTCAGGTGGGGAGGGGAGGGGGAGGGAGGCAGATTCAACCGATCCAGTGTTGCAAGCCTCGAGTGTCGTACTGAATGTGCATTCGTGCGGAGAATAATCTATATCGGGTCATTTTTACTTAACAAATCTTCACATGTCAAGCGATACAATGATAATGGAGAGGTTTCGTGACCTGTCGGAGGCAACGCTGGGTCCAAGCAGGCATTTTGCTTGAATCTCGAAAATAACCCCCGGGTGACGTAAATGCACCAGACCCCAGCTCCCAAGGCCACCTCATGTTGCATAACCTGGCAGGGCACCCTCCCCCCCCCCCCTTCAGCACAAAGATGCATGTAGGCACCCCCACCCCCGCTCACCATTATTCTCCTCACGGTAGAAAATAATGAACGAGTTTTCAGGCTCTTTAAATGCGATCTGAATGGGGTCGGGTGAGTCTACATGCACGGCAGTCGGGGAAATATGGGAAGCCATAGAAACGGATGACAAATTTATTGAGATTCCTCGCGTGAGTGGATTTACTCTGACGTCACGACTTCTTTCGGTGACATAACGCGTAAAGTCCGAAACCTGAAACAAGATCTTACGAATCTGTAACACGCTTCACGTCGTTATGCTTGCGTTTATCCTTTCGTCTCGCCGCGAAGGGCGTCCGAGTCTGCTGCCCTCGTCAGAACGTTTAAGTTCCCGGTATAGAATATCCGGTGCTAATTTCGGACGGCTTCCTTAATACGGAAATGCCAGGGAAAGCATTGGCTGCGATGTATGCGTGTGAGTGAGTGCGCGTGTGGCTCCCTGGCCCGGGTGACGTCACACGTAACCTTGGACTAGGTCGCGTAGAGGGCGTACTTGAGCCCAGTCGGTACCCCCTACCCCCACCCTCCCTCCCTCTTCAACAAAGCTCCATTCCCTCCGCCCTCCATCGCCGTCGCAAACACAGGGGGCGCGGGAATTACGTTCGCGTCTGTTTTCGCTTTTTTAAGTCGGTCCTTATCACAATCATGGTCTCTTTCAGGGATCATGAGGCTAATGAGGTTGCAATGTTAAAGAGCGCGCGTGAGGGTGAATCTTCATGCAGCCTCACGGGTAGTTTACCAGGTTTTCCGAATTAGCAAATGCGCGTCGGAAACGGCCAAGGTTGCGAAGTCGGCGGCGAGACGGAGCCCCGGCCGACCTGCTGGCGGGACGGCACCGCCACCTCATTAAGAATTAAATCCGTGTGTCGCCGCCGGGAGGGCCATGCGAGGGGCGGGAAGCAAATCCCATTTTTAGGGCCTCAGCGATAAAAGGGAGAGCAAGATAACGTCAGAAAGTGAAAGGATTGAGACGGTGAAAAAGTAAAAGCAGCTATCGCTGATTGACACTTGGCGACAGGGAATTCAAGGTTGCATGTGTGGGATGTGCCGGTCGCCATATCGCCCTTGAAAACTCACCTTTGGACGTCGTGCACCTACACAAACTGTCCCTGCCACTCCCTCCCGCGCGGCCCCCAATTGCACAATGGAACCCGATGGTTTTAGCCGATCCTCACAGTGATATCCCGACGTGACTCTGAATATAATTTCATAAACTTAGCAGGGAAAAAATTCAACATACGGATATACCGGCATGCCGCGTGGGGAATACGCCCAGGGTATTAGTGATGTTAATAACAGACCTCGTGGGTGATTCTTACAGTCCATTTTAAGCAGCTGATGAAAGGGGAGAAGGGGAAGGAAGAGGCGAGGGGAGGAAGGGGTAAAGTTACGTAAAGGAGGGACAAGTCACGTGGTAGCTCCCGTGTGTGTGCCCCCTATCAGGCCCTGTCCCCCCCCCCCTCCCACGCTCACCCTCACCCTCGAGCTCCACATCTGGCCGCTCTTTTTACTCTCTACCTTTTAAGCTGTTAATTCACCCTCCCTCTCCCTCATTACCCGCCTGCCCCTCTCTCTCTCTCTCTCTTACCACATGGTATCCTGAACCCTTCTTCATTTACAGCATGAGACATAGCCCTCCCTTCCCCCTCCTCCTCCTCCTCTTCGCCCAGATGTTGTACCTTCCCCGCCCTTCTTCCCCTCCCTACGTGGGGGGTGTTGCAGCGCCACACAAAGACGTTTTTGGGCGGGAACTGTGCGCCGTGTTCGCCGGAGATAAGGGGCGCTTGGGTTGTGTAAGAGATAAGAAGGCATAACGATGTCCTTCGATGTTATTATTGGTCGCCACGGCAGCCCCACCGTGCGCGCGTATTGCAATGGGATTTCCTCAGGAAGGGCGTGTTGCCGGAGCTTCCCTGAAAAGGGGAAATTCAATGGGAGGAGCTCTATCACACAAGGGACTTCCCTGATATTCATAGTTGGGAAATTAATAAGTATAGTTGGTTATTATTCTTATCACGATTCATGACTTTACGGAAATGGAGGTTTTCGAATGAAGAATACAGCGTGGCGATTTAAGGCGAATCCCACTTGGCCTGCATCCCGGACAAGAACCCGTGACACGCAGCTGCCATCATGGGCGTAATTAGCACGTGGGCTCATCCCTCACCTGTCCCTCCGACCTTGGTTTACTCCAACTCTCTTAATTATACACATTCGCGAGGCCTGTCTGAGTGTGTTTATGGCTTCCCCTTGGTGGAAAACCTGTCTTCATTCATTGGGGCTTCCGCAAAAACCTCTGCACAGCCGATCGCCTTTGCTTGCATAATTAGCTCGTATTAGGTCAACTGTCATCTGCCAGACCGTTTAATTATGTCTAAGTGAATTTAATTTTAGGGTAATACGAAGTAAGGGCAGAAATTGACGGCTGGTGTGGCGACCGCTGAAGTTGACGTAAGTCTCACGGTACGGTCGATGCTGGGGGAGCGAGTGTCCACATTTCGCCATATTCTCCAATTATTCACGCGGGAATCTTATTTATTCTGCGTTATTCTCGTGAGTCATGAGTTAAATTGCCTCCGAAATATGGATTATTTAATGATGGCAATCTTTATTATGAAAAAAGAAGCGGCCTTTAGTCAAACTAAAATACTAGTAAGTTGGATTCGAAGAGCGGCCTTGGTGAGGCCCGCGCTCTTTCAAGGTCACTCAGCCCGCCAAATTTACCCTCCAAACACCCGGCGCCTTTGCCAACCAGTCATAGAACATGCCAGGCGAATTCATTTTTTCTCCCCCATTGCCAGCTCCACGAAAATAGGTCCAAAATGATAAAAAGTGGGCGAATAAACAGTCAAATGTGTGTTCGAGGCCCTCATCACTAGACACTATGACCTCCAGTTACATAAAACAATGAACAAATAGATAAAAATAATTCTGATAAATTCAAAGGCCACAAGCTCAGCCACGAACAGTTTTCCCTTTCAAAATCACCGCCGGGGGTTCCATTTGTAGGACAATGGAAACCCCAAATGTTTAGCTGGCGGTAAACCGTCAACAATTTCCTCTGTTCCCCCTCTGGCGGGTGGCGTGGGCAAGGGCATCTGGGTGACCTGGGCGTTGGGCGTTGCAGGGGAAGGGAAAAAAAGGGTGATCAGAGGGAGGGGAGAGGCAGGGGGAGAAAGGGGGGTATTAAAGGAAGGGGAGATATAGAGGGAAGGCGTTGGGTGCAACTACAAACGCCTATGTTGTTTGGTTACGTTTTGGGCTCACTGTGAGCCTCTGTCTTATTGGCTAGATTGCTGGGTGATGACGTGGAGTTACCGAAACGCTGTTCATTTGCCAAACATGTGACTGAGCGGGGCAAGGATGAGAGAAGAAAGGAGGGAGCGAGTCGTGGCCAAGGTCGAGCTGGTAAAGACGCGGCCCACGTGCAAATTCCTCACATATTGCCGCGTATTCCGACCTTTACTATGTATAACGCCCAGCAAACGTTTAACATACCCGGCCACGTGGCACGCCTTACTCGGTGTCTGGAGGAAGCCGAGCATGGCGCTGCAGAAAGCCGCAGAGATCCCGGCACTGGAGGGGGAGGCGGCCGAGGGCGAGACAAAGATCCACGAAAGGTTTAACCCGGCGCCGTCTGGCTCCTCGGGATACATTGTTGGCAAGGGTGGAGGGCATGCGAGGGGGAGGGGGAGGGGGAGCTGGGACTGCGGGTTACGCTGTAGATGAAACCAATCACCCTAATAATTACTATATAGGTCTGATAGGTCGCGGTGATCTGGGCGGCGTCACCCGCTGCATGAGGGCACAGTGTGGCATCACCACGTGGCGCTTCAGTTTCAAATTTTGGCGGTTTGCGAATCGACGGCGTTCGGTTAAGAGATCAACCCGGGCGAGCGAGGGAGCTTGCTGCACCTTCCACCCCTCCTGTTCTGCCCCCTCCCTCCCTCCCAAGGGTTATCGTAGGTTGTTTGAAGGACGGGCGTAAACACTGGGTTATCAGAGGGTATTTGAAGGGCATCTGCAAACCTTGTGACTCCGCTTAATACGGCGCGGAAGGAGGGGGGGGGGCAGGTGAAAATGTGAGGGAGATAACGCCTGTAACGGACGAATTTATATTTATTTTCATTTAAAACTTGAGCGGGCGAATTACGTACCCCGATTTCGGAGGCGACAAGGATGTTTTATGATCTCAATCGATTAGATGCCTCGGTGGCGACCGGCGCCGTCTAGTGCTTCAGACCGTGGTGACCGGACCGCGCTCGAGTGTGCATTTGCGTCCAAGGTTGGCTTTTATTAATCGATCCCGTCGGTAGTAGCGAGTGCAGGATCTCGATGAAACCAGTAAGGTATTGGGTTTCCTGTGGCGGGATTTGTTCTGAGAGTGATCACGTGAACACCTGTCAGTTTGCTACACAGCATTGACTGAACATTTTAGGCAGGGGTGACTTGCAGTTTTCTCGGGCAGGGGTGAATTTTTCTCATAGTTCCAGAATGCATTAGTAGGGCTAGAGGGCGGGGCTGAAGACGAGGCTGGGAGTTAGGTTAGGCTTATATGAAATATATATGGTACTTTCACATTGCACACATCAATAATGGTTGTAACATGTAATTAACCTTCTCTCTCCTTCTTCCACAGGCGTGCCCACTGAACCCTCGGCCAGTGCCCCTGCAGGGTCAACAGGAGCTCGTGCAAGACTTCAGCGAGCGCTTCTCTCCCCATCCGCGGCGTCGTAGAATTTGCCAAACGTCTGCCAGGCTTCCAACAGCTGCCACAGGAAGACCAGGTGACACTCCTGAAGGCAGGCGTATTCGAGGTGCTCCTGGTGCGTCTGGCGGGGATGTTCGACGCCCGCACCAACACCATGCTGTGCCTGAACGGTCAGCTGCTGCGCCGAGAGGCACTGCACACTTCAGTCAACGCTCGCTTCCTCATGGATTCGATGTTCGACTTCGCTGAACGCGTCAACAGCCTCTCCCTCAGCGACGCTGAGCTGGCTCTCTTCTGCGCCGTGGTTGTGTTGTCCCCCGACCGCCCGGGCCTGCGCAATGCTGAGCTCGTGGATCGCGTGCAGAGGCGCCTCATCAACTGCCTGCGGGCCGTTGTGACCAAGCATCACCCCGAGAACCCCAGCCTACAGCGCGACCTCCTCTCCAAGATCCCCGACTTGCGGACTCTCAACACGCTGCATTCAGAGAAGTTGCTCAAATACAAGATGACTGAGCACACCGCAGCCGGCGCTCCCTGGGACGACTCCCGCTCCTCGTGGAGCATGGAACAAGAGAGCAGCGTGGGCTCCCCCTCATCTTCCTACACCGCCGACGAGGCCATGCGCTCCCAGTGTCGTGCTCCGAATCCATCTGCTCCGGCGAGTCCGCCAGCTCCGGCGAGTCGCTGTGCGGAAGCGAAGTGTCCGGCTACACGGAGCTCCGGCCTCCCTTCCCCCTCGTCCGCCGGCGCCACGACCACTCCGAAGGTGCTTCCTCGGGCGACGAGGCGTCCGAATCTCCTCTGAAGTGCCCCTTCAGCAAAAGAAAATCGGAAAGCCCCGACGACTCGGGAATCGAGAGTGGGACCGACAGGAGTGACAAGCTGTCCTCCCCGTCGGTGTGCTCTTCCCCGCGGTCGTCCATTGACGAGAAGAGCGAGGAGGACCGCGAGGACGACATGCCAGTGCTGCGCCGCGCCCTGCAGGCGCCCCCCATCATCAACACGGATCTGCTCATGGAGGAAGCCTACAACAAGCCCCATAAAAAGTTCCGTCCGCAACGTCGGGAAGAAGAGCCCCACTCCTCCCAGCCCACCTCCTCGCTCCTGGAGCAGACGCTGTCGCAGCCCCCGCACCACCAGACTTCCTCTCTGGCTGCCACGCACGCCACCTTAGCCTCCACTCTGGCGTCAACACTTAGCTCGCCGAGCTTAGCTGCCTCCCACTCCACTCTCGCTCGCACCTTGCTCGAGGGATCCAAGATCTCCGAGGACGCCATGCGCCGCGCCGACATCCTGCACTCCATGATCATGCGCACCGAGGTCCGGGAGCGGTTACCCACTCCGCGAGTGTCTCCTGCACCTTATTACGTCCCACAGCCCGCTGTGGACCGTGTACAGCCTCCAGCATCTTCCTGGTCGTGCCCAGCCTCTCGCGGCAGCAGCAGCAGTAGCAGCAGCAGCAGCACTAGCGGTAGCCTAAGCCCCATGCAACCCACCGTAACCGCACAGCCACGGCTGCACCTCCTCACAACACCCACGCCCTCGCGCTACTACGAGTCGAGGATGTCGGCCACACCGGTGGGGCTCGGGGCACAGCCGTCAGGCTCCCCAAGTGCTTCCCATGATACATTCAGGCTTGGGTGCTCAGCCCGGCCAGAGGGAGCCCTCCCCCTCGTCGAACTGCAGGTCGACATCGCTGACTCGCAACCGCTCAACCTTTCCAAAAAGACGCCGCCGCCGACGCCACGGGAGTTCGTCATGGAAGCGTAATGCACGGTTGGCCAGCGCTTACCCGAGTACAAAGCCACTATGTGGCCCCGATATTCTCACTCTCAGGCGGACAGAAAGAGGACAGCGCGAGCAGCCGCAGCGACAAGAGGACGAGGAGAGGAGCGGTAGCGTTAAGATGGAGGAAGAGGACGCAGCAGCTGCCGCAGCGTGCGGGAGGGTCCTGGAGCACGTAGCGACGTGGGTCAGCGCGTGCAGCGCCTCACCGGTGATGGTAGCAGGGGCGTTGCTGCCTGCTCCCGACCCACCCGCAGCAGCAGTCATGTACAGGGGGCGGGCGCCAGTCTAAACCCGCCCTAAACTCGGGCCGCCCCAGGTGGACCCAACACTGGCCGCCCGCCCCGCCCAGCTTGTGAGGGCGGGATTACCACAGGTAGTCCCGCCTGGGCGAGAGCCTAGTGATGTACCTAGTTCAGTATTCATCGCCTCATGCAGTCTCACCCCCCCGAGGACCACAGTCATCGCCATTACTCATCTCTCATTACTCATGGCTAGATCTCGATGTCATAATTAATATTTAGCCCAGTGTCTGGCGAACTGTTTGTTATGTCATTATTATTACTGTCATTATAATGTCATTATATTATCATATTATTTTATTATTATCATCATTATTATTATTATCATTATTATTATTACTTCATGATCATGATAGCTCTTAATGTACTCTTATGGACATAAGTTTGTCATAGCAAATAGTTCCACCGTGTGCTTGTATGTACATTTTTGTAATATTTGGGAGTTCAAATTTTGAGTCTTTAAATAAATGTGCAAAGAAATAAAAAACACTGTTTAATTACAACCAAGTATAGCTGCATTATATTTGACTGAAATAAAGAAATGAAAATAAAAAAAAAAAAAAAAAAAAAAAAAAAAACTGCATTGGAGAAATTAAGAATAGTAAAACAAAATAACCACAAAAATTTCTGACCAAAAATGAGAAAAAGAAATATGCAATAGAAGGAATATAACACATGGATCAGTAATCATATATCTGAACTAAAATCCTAATGGTATACTAACTGTCAAGATAATTAAAAAGGAAATATATAAATGGTATCAAGAAATCAAAAAAGGGAAAAAATGAAACCTTTAAAATTATGTAAACATTTACAAAATTACAAAGTAGTCTATCTAAAAAAAGCAAAATCTCTACAAGTAAATGAAAAAGATGAATTGTCCTGCAGGAAGCTGAGTTCACACACACACGCACACACATATGAGGTGCTCCAATATGAAACATGGCATTCAAATAAATACACACACACACACAAAAAAAAAAAACAATGGTAAATAAAAACGAATGAAAAAAGATTGA